CACACTCTCCTTCTCTCCTATGAATCACTCCAGGGTTTCACAAAGGGCATTCAGGCCACTTGCATGTAGAAGGCCCCCCAAGCAGCTGCTCCCACGAGGAATTTGAGTCACATGATTGGCGAGTGCCCATCACGAGGAAAGCAAGACAGGGCTAAAAAGAAGAGCCAAGACCAAGATGCAGGGAGGGGGGGGGGGTTCAAAAATAGACCCAGTGTGGAGTGCACACCCAGGCACTGGGGAGAGCCCGGGGGCACTGGCTCTGGGGTTCCGGCTGTAACTGGCACAAGGATGAAGGCTTGTTTGTTAAGATGCTTCACAGAAAGCCAATCAGAGCCGCCATGCAGAGGGAACCACTTGGTTCAGTGGGCATCTCCCAACCTTCCTTCTGCAGCCAGGGAACTGCCACTTACACATAAGCCATATTGTGACCGCAGACGTATAAAACTGTGTGAAATGATTGGGGGCTGCAGAGCAAAAGCCTGTGGGAAGCCCCAAGGTATGACCCAAACACTTTTATCATCACCTCTTCACTGACACATGAAAACCTTTGCTCTTTCATGGCTGAGTTGCCAATAAATTAGGAACAATTTAGCCTGTACCCATTTACTCGTGAACCACCTCCATGAGGCTAAAAGTAAGTTACCACTTTAAAAAGTCCATCTCTCCTAGTTAAAATTATTTTGGTCTCAATTTTACGAAATTAATATGATGTGGGAGACGGTACAAAAATTTTCTCTGGTTTCCAAATTAAAAATAGTTGAAATGACTTATATCTTTTATTTTGGAAAATCAGGGACAAAAAGATACTCCCTGCCAACAAGAGAGGTGCCAAGTTTCTGTCAACTGCTTGGTTATAATTTGGAGAGTTAGAATTAAGTTTTATATCTTGAAAAGTGCCGTTTGCAGAAAGAGAAATGATGTTAGGCGGTTGCAGACAACTTTGAATTGGGCTTCTAATCACGATACTCCCAGCTCCTTGATGTCCCCAGATAGAGACTTTTGAGATTTTCAAACTGGACAGTCCCCGGTCATGGGGCCTCACCAGGAAAAACATGGGGCTCAATGAATATGACTCAGCCCCAGGTCTCTCCTTCATGCCAACCTTGGCCTCTAAAGAAATAAATGCCTCAGGCCTATCTTATATCCCCATGTCCCTCTTCATGGACTGGATGGAACACGGGGAAGAGACCTATATTCAGAGAGTCCAGAGCTGTGCTGAAACATACTGCACTGGGTACCAAGTTTATACTCCCTGTCAGCGGTTCCCACTCCTAGCGGCATGTTAGAATCATTTGAAGATTGTAAAGAAAATGCCAATGTCTAGGGCTTATTTCAGACCAATTAAATCATAATTTCTGGGCCCTGGCATTTTACAAAAACTCCCCAGGTAAGTCTAGCGTGCAGCAGAGGTTAAGAACTGCTGCTGGCCATGAGAGACAAGAACAGGCTCAGCAGGAATTAAGCACCCGATGGTTTGTGAGCACTCCTCCCCAGATCACCTCCAGGCCTGTGGCCCCTGAATCATTTGTTCTATCACACAGTGATTTGCATGTGTCTTCTGGCTTCCACAAAAGTTCTATTTGGACATGTAGGACCTTAGCCCTCTAAGCCCTACTGCCCAGTTCCAAATTCCACCGAAGCCTATAAAACACTTTCCACCCACCCAGGAAGCCAGCAGAAGGGGCCACCCCCTACTTTCCGTTAATCAACGGTGATGCTGAGCCCAGGATGCCTGATTCTAGGGAGCAATAGTCACCTCAAAGGAGCAGGGAATGTTCAGTGAGCTCGGAGGGAAGAACAGCGATGGTTGGGAGAAGGGCTTTTTATTTCACAGTTGAAATCTGCCCACAGGGGTGAGGGTAGAAGGATGCAGAACCCGTTTAACACATCATTCCATCCAGCGACTCTGAATCTCACTGGGCTCCATTCAGACATCTTTATGCTTATTTTTAATCGAAGGAGCAAGAAAGACTCTCCTTAATAACCAGGCAAGAAAGCATCAAGTGTTTTCTCTCTCTCTTTTGGAAACAAGTAGGTGTCTACACGCTTGAATTTGTCACTGTGCTCCAGTTTTGCAGACAGCGATCTGGCTGGCACAAAGACTCCCAGACTCAGTGCCCACAAACAGCTGCACCCTATGGTATCAGCAGGTGCACGGACAGAGCCCAGCGAGAAAATTCCCTGCAAGAACAATGGCACCGTTATAATGCCAAGGGACAGGGCCTGAGCCTCACTACTTGTTCACTCCATCCGAGGACAGGAAGAGCTAGAAACTCAGCCTCAGCTCCCTGGGATTTTGGCCTTTTGGTCCCTGGATCATATCCAGATAGAGCCAGGTAGAGCCCCTCAGGGGGAGCAGCTATATCAATTCTAGGGTCCAACCAACCAGACAGTGAAATTAAAAAAAAAAAAAAAAAAACTGAAGAAAATGTAGTCTTTTCCTTTTAACATATCTTCTCCTCCCGTGGGTCGCATTGCCACAGTCACCAAGTTTACATTTACATCCAAATATGCACACACAAAAAAATTACTGATGCATCTCACTCCCTGGTGACTTTATAACAGGTTGCTAGGTAACAGTGCATACAAGTCAGGTTTCAGGACCTCTAGTAAGCCACCATAAAATAGCTGCATGGGCCTTTTGCATAAATAGTGTGCATTTGTTATCTGTTTTCTTATGCCAATTGATCAGTAGGTAAATACTCTGACTGCCAAACTGTAAACAACTCCCCATCAATAGCTGGCTGAAACAGCGGATCACAATAGAAGACACAGTGCTTCACCCCAACCTTCCAACTGGCTGCTTCTCCCCTCAGTCTCTGCTATTTGCAGCACTGGCTCAGGCAGCCACCACCCTCTCTCAGGCTTCCAGAGACTGGAGCTAATTACACCCCATGCCTGATGGGGGGCACTGGGAGCTGAGCCCAGCAGGAGTCGCGTTATCATGCACCAGGGTTCCATCCACAGATCAAACCTTCCCGCCTCCCTCCTCATCTTCCTCCAGATTTAAAAAATTCCCTGGAGTCAAGGGGTGAAGGGAATAACACCATACTGAGAGTTTTTCGCTCTCTCCCTACCTCCTTTGCCTCTGTCTGTTAAGTACAGAAACGACCACCACTCCAAGCTATGCTAAATGAATTTGTCCTTGGAGTTGCTTCCCTCAGGACTGTACTAAAAAAGTTCAAAAAAGGAGGCCCTTCTGCTACCATAGACGAGACCCTGGAGGAAGAGCCAGGTTCCCTTACAGGTGACAAAGGGGAAACTGGAAACACGTGTTTTCCCACGTGATCAAGGAATTTTAAATATAAATCTCAAAGTCTAGATAATCACATTTTCCCTGAGATTGGGATGGGAGAGGGAGAGGGCCAGGTGAGAAGAGCGGAGACCCCACACTGCATCAACGACTCCATTAGATGCAACTAGTTCCTGTAGCTTGGCCCCTCCCGCTCCCCCTTCCCCACCCCACTCCGTTAATTTCTGGGATTCTCATTTTCTATCCCCCGTCCCGACTCACTCCTTCCAACTGCTGAGGGGCAAAGATCTGGGGTTAAGGGGACATTCTGAAAGACCTGACTGAAGTGCCACCGAGCAAAGGGACTTTGGAGTGAAGCTGAGCCTCTCATTCACCTGGCGATGACATTTAGTGAAACGCGACTCTCAGTCCACTTAAAGGAAGGCGGTGACCAATTATTCTCCATTTAAAGGGTATTGTCAATCTCCAAAGAGCTGAAATGGCATTTGGAAATCATCCTGGGGACTGCCACCTTCACTGAACGACAGGACCGATTCTCAACCGACCTTTCCCCACCCTCTACAACTCCTTTAAAATTTCAAATTGTACTTTTTAAAATGTAATGAGGATCAGCACGGTCCCACAACGCGTCTTATCATTCCAAAAAAAAAAGAGTTGGGAGAAAAGAAAAAAAATCTAACATTTCTCCACCCCTGTTCAACTTCGCTGCTAAATCAAACACATGGGGAAAAAAATGACCAAAAAAGAGTCACGTGTAATTTGATGGTAATGAAAAGTGATATCAATTGATAAGAATACATTTTCATAATTTTTACATTATCTTCTTTTAAAAGGGGATCACAATGGTAGGAACAGAATGTTGTTTAAAAACAAAAAAAACTTTTTAAAAAATTCCACTTTATATGAGGTACCTGAAAGAGCCAAGTTCATAGAGATGAAAGTAAAATCGTGGTCACCAGGGGCTGGAGGGAGGACTTAGGGGGACTAATTGTGGATTGGATATAGAACTTCAGCTGGGGAAGATAAAGTTCTAGAGACCAACAGTGGTGGCAGGTACACCAGAAGGTGAAGGTACGGAACGCCACCGAACCGCACACCTGAAAAATGGTTAAAAAGGTAAATCTGATGTAATTTCACCCCAATAAAATGAAAAACTTTACACACACACACACAAACATAACCCACCCACAACATCCTGAAGAAAAATCATACAGATGATCTTTCTCATTTGCTCAAATTGCAGAAGTGTAACTCCTCATAGTGGTCTGCCAATGTGTGTCCTTTCAAATTAAGACGGTAAAGAACTTGAAAAATACAAAATGAGGTATTCCATATGCAAGTACTTTGAAGAACCCAGGGCAGAAAGAGATACGTCAAACAGGGGCCCAAGGTGGCACAAAGCAAGGGGCACAAACCTGGCTCATCCTGTGACCTTTCCCACTACCCCCCCCCACAGTGAGAATCCCCAAAGGGTCAAAACCAGAAGGAAATCAAAGATCCCTGTGGTTCTGAGACCCAAACCAAAGCCACGCCTACTTCCAAACAATTGCCAAAAAAAAAAAAAAAAAGAAAAAAAAAAAAAAAAGGGGGGGGAGAAAGTCAAGGAAAATTTATGAAAGTGCAGACTCTCAGACTTGCGGGGAGCCTTGTGATCCTGCCAGCTTATTTTACAGATGAAAATACTGGTAGAGAAAGAAAGCGAGACAGAGAGACAGAGGGGAGAGAGAACACAACCCTAGTCAAGTACCTGACAGCTTCATGAGAAAATCAGACGCCATCTTAACAGAGATGTCCTGGCTGAACAATGCTGCCGCACTGTTGGCCACATACTCGGAGGGGTCTTTCAGCTTTGTGTGGTTGGCGGGCCTGTCGGTGGCACTCAGGGTAAAGGAGGCGGGCAGGCCGTTATCTTCCTTGGGTTCCTCCTTCACCAGCAAAGGCGAGACGCCAGCCCCACCCTGGCTAGTCCTCTCTGGAGTGTTAGACGTCATCACGGTCCCCACTAGCTCTGTCCCTCCTCCTTCCCTTTGCTGCCCCAGGCAGCCACTGTCACTGAGGTGGGGAGATCCCTTGACATCTGGGTCTGAGGTCTCCTCCTTCACCTTGGCCTCTGTCCTCAGGAAGTGCTGGTGGCAGCGCATGTGGAGTTTCAGGCTGAAGTGGCGAGAGGAAGTGAAAGGGCATAGCTGGCACTGGAAGGTCTCTCCCCGGTCCTGGTGTTGGTGAACCTGACGGAGAAGCAAGAAGAGTGAGCTCGGCGCCCTGCGTTCAGGGAGGGTGCCCGCCATGCATCCACACGCCCCATCCACGACACCCAGCACAGGCCCCCCAGGGAAGAAGACAACCACAGGAGCACTTCATGAGTGCTCCGGGTCATGAGGTCGATCCCCCAACACAAAGCAGGTCCACCAGGGTAAGAGTCCATTATCAGATCTGCCTGCCAATGGACGCAGCGCCGGGCAGAAACCGCCTGATAGTTCAGTCGTCTGTTCAAGGTTGCTATCTTTCGAGAAAAATATTACAAACCCAGCACAAGGTCAACTTATATAACTATTAGTTAGGGGTCAAAAGAGGTAACCTGTCAAGTAATTCTTCTCACAATAATACTTTGCATGTACCCAATTACGGTCACCCAGAGAATTAGCTATGTTTTGCAAACATAATCTCAATTTTCAAAAACGCTGCTCTTAGGTAAATGAAGCATGTAGGAAATTGATACCTCCTGGGTATTCCCATTTCATAGACAGGGAAATGGAGACCCCCCAGAAGAAGTGGCTTGAGCAAAAATTACATAGGAAGAAAGGAAAGCAGGAGAAAAATCAAGGTCTGCCCCTCACCAAACATTCTGAGCAAGAGGAAACCGGTTTTTCCAAACGTGGTTATAATATCGCGCTCTAGATTCTGCTGTCGCAGGGAGAGAAGGCAGACTTTTAAACGCAGTTCCAGTCTTGCGTGCACTCGATACCTGTAAAACTGGGAGAAACTTTTTCTTCCTTCCTGTCACTACCAAATTTAGTGCTTGAAAAAGTGAGGAAATCATTGCACTGGCCCGAGCCAGGCTTTGAGCTGGCAGGTGCTCATAAGCTTGTAACTTCCCCATTCATCTCTGCCAATGCACTTCAGTGCTGACCTGCTACACGCTGCTATTTCAGGACTGGCCCTCCCTGGAGTAGAAACTGCCAATTGTGTAGATTTGGGCCAAATGATTTGGGGAATCTTGGGATCTGGACAAACAAGAATGTCAGTAACTGGAATTCAAAATCCAAACAAAACTGACCCTGTGTCGTTCAGGGGTGACCCGAGGGGGACTTGAACCCTGGTCTGCGCTGAGGTTAAAGGCCCGTTCCTTAACTTGCTGCACCACCTGGGCCCTCTGTGTGGGTCTCCTTTCCAAGAGACCAAGTTTTACTACAGCTGTTTATGCCTTCTGAATGCAATCCAAAAGCATTCTTCACCAGCCAAAACATACTTTTAAATAATGTTAAGTGACCAACAAAAGCAAAGAAATTAAAAGTTAATGGTGAGATCCTGTTGCTACAGCACCCCACTGTGGCTTTCTGAAAAAAACAACAGAAGAGATTCTGGGTCCCCCAAAGCCTGAGTTCATCAACAGAAACAACCATAAAAACTTCAGTTGCGGCCAAAAGGCTCCCCTCTGCCCAGGCAGAGGGCAGAGGTGGGGAAACACCCTGACCGACCGCCCTGGCTCTTCACACCGCCGCTCTCTCTTCTTTCCAGACAAAGGGATTTCATTTCTCATTTACTTTCTCACAGAATCCAGAAGATTCCCCAGCAGTTCTTCCACCAGATTCCTACAGGGACAGGCACCTTGGGGGCCTTGGGTCACAGCGCCGCCCCCCCCCCCCCGGGGCTCCTGACAGGTGCTGCCAAAGGCATGCCCGGAACCAGGTGATAAAGGTCACCCAGAGGAAGGCTCCCTGTGAGGGCCATGCAGGGGGGCGGATTCCGTTTCAGAGGTGCCCTTGCATCTCCTGACTCCAGAGAGCACAGAAGCTAATCCAAGAACAGAAGCTCCGGAAGCAGCTTCTGGAAGAAGGAAAAGGACAGAACAAGAGCCCAGGTTCCAAGACAGAAAGGAAGCCCTGGCTGAAAGGCATCTGTGTGCAGTTGTTCACGTGGCTTTCCCACTAAAGCCTGGCCTTGTGTTTAGTGGTGGAAAAATGAGTGCAAGTGAGAAGGAGGAACAGTGTGGGGCTGACTTGCACTTATGACTGCATTTGAGCTACACCTTCCCAATGGGACGAGAGCTCACGTGCGGCCTTTGAGAGAAGCACGTATCCTCCTGTGGCCTTCTCTCCAACAGAAGAGCACTTTTCTATCACCGTTTTATTCTCTTTAGCCTAAGGCTGGCTTGAAAGGCCCTCTTAGTCGGCTAATGCGAAGAAATGCTCATCTAAAGCATGCCATTCTCTCCAGAATCACTCACTCCCTGGTCCCTGGCCACCAACAGTTCCTAGACGTCATCAGAACCAGCCCTTGGTAGCAGTGAGATGCCTGGGGGGGTGGTATTTCAGAGCTTGCAGAAACTCTGGGAAATGTACAGTCCATCCATCCCCGAGGGGACTGGGCCAGGCAGGCGAGGGTCTTCCTGGGGACTCACAGCAGACCGAGGAGGGGCAGAGGGCAGCGCCCCGCCTCTGGTCCAGCTTCCTGCCATTACTTCATTAGGGTTCTCTATCCTGGCAGCCCTTCTCGCCTTTTCTGCTCACTTTTAGCTTATGAATTTCACATTGAATTCCTGTATGCTCACTCATCCAGGGAAGTTGTAAAAGACTTAATGGAAATCTAAGATAACCCCGAGGAAGCTGGAGGCATTTACAAGCCCCTGCTGCCGTTGGTCCTAAAAACATTTGCACAGTATATCCTGGAAGAAAGGTGGCTTACCAAAAAAAAAAGTGGCACCTAGTAGGCCCACACCTAATAGTAAGTACTGTACCTGTCAAACAGAGAAAGCAGAACTCTATTTTTCTTAATTAAATTTGTAGAATCAATATAGAAGATCATGCACGGGAATTATAACGGTTATTTCTGGGTGGAGAGATGAATGGCTAATTTCATCTTATTTTTCAGTTTTTCTAAAGGCTCATTACTGAAGACAGGTCACCAAGAGAGAAAAGCAATAGGATTTATTCTAGAGCAATTTCTTATACCATCTCATTCATTATTTCTAAATGTAAACATTAATATGCACACAGGCGGATTTGGGATAATGATTATTAGCTACATTTACTGAAGGTCTCTTCTCCAGGCTGGGTACTGTATTAAGTGCTCTCTGTGTATTATCTCATTTAACTCATAACAACCTCATGGGAGAGGCAGCATGATTATTATCTCCATTAGTGGAAACAGGTTTTAAGAGGTTATGTGAGTCTTCCAAACTCTTGCAGCTCCTAAGACATCTCGAAGTGAGACTTTTTTCTTTCCTGAACCCACAGTTTGAGGTCTTGATCTTTGACTACAGTGTTCCCGCTTTTTAGAGCAAAATTCATTTTAGCAGATACATCATACATCCATATTTACAGTTTCTGAAGAATGCAGCAGAGGCTACCTACGCATAAGACCACAGCCTTTACATTTCTGTTAGACTAGATTTGTAAAATTGGGCAATGTTAAAGTATGTCTAATCAAAATAAAACCATGATCTCTTTGATTTTAAAAAAAAAAAAAAAACTAAGTAAAGACCCATAAGGGAGGTGGCGAGGCTGGAAAAGAACGTACACCTTTGATGAAATTAAACTTGCATGATCCCTTTCTCACGCTTCCCTTATCAAAAGCTCAAGTCAGAGCTCAACAGGTTAGGACACCAGGAGTTTGAATAAAGTAGTAATTTCACACAACTGCTTTATTGTACTGGTTATTGATTTGTTCTGAAAGCATTCCAAGACCCCACGACCCGCAGAGCCCTGGCGGCTCTCATCTGTAACACTGTCATGGCCATGAGTCTGTGTCATCAAGGCACCCAACTCATCTCCCTGTAGTTTCAGGGTCAGCAGTTGCTGCTATTGAAAACCCAGCTTTTTTTCCCCCCTGGGTTTATAAATAGGTTGTTTTAAGTGACCCTGAGCTGAAACCAAGCTTACAAGGTGTCAGGCTAGATGCAAGTTTGCTGCTCACTGAAGCTGTAAATTCGCCGGGCCTGATTTCTAAACACAGCTAAGGAGGCAGTAACTAAAACAAGTTTTTTTTTGTTGCAAAGGCAGTTCCTTTGAAGTCTCATCTTGCTAATGAAATCCAATTTGGCAGGTTTCAAAGATGGGCTTTTCCTTTGGGGAGAGGTGATCGAGGATGAGGAGGGTTAGAGCCATAACCCGAGTAAACACAGGGAAATCCAACCCACCCGAGCCCCTGGTTAAGTGAATTCTGAAGATGAAGGGCACACTACTCCCAGGAGAAGAAGGCAAATGATAGAAAACAAATCACATCATGGATTTAATTGGTTTTTTTTTTTTTTTAATCTTCTAAGCTATTTCCTAAAGTCAATAGAAGTTTTGTTCCATCACACTCTTTCAAGAGCTACAGTTCAGAACGGGGATTACTGATCTATTCCGAAGGCTCAGACTACAAGATTTCGAAATAAGCAAATATCTTAATTACATACATACACTGGGCTTATTTCAGGAAGGGAGACGGCTTGTAAATAATGTCAACAGTTGAGCCCTACTGAAAATATCAGTGAAATATCACTGTCATTATTAAGATGTTCAGTGGCAGTTATTAAAATTAAGTTACTGCCACTGAGATTTATTTAATTTTAATAACTGCCACTGACCGTTTCTGTGTCAGACATGTTGCTGCTATCACCTCCTTCAATCCTGATGACAGCTCTTCCAGACAAGCACCATAGCTCCCATTGAACAGATGGGAAAATTGAAAGCCTAAGGAATAACTTGCTCAAAGCCACGTGGCAGGAAAGTTGCATAATAAGACTGAAATTCACATCTATCAAATTCAAAAGCTCATGCTTGAAGTTGAATCAAAACGTAGAATCAGTGAGGTCTTCTAAGAAGATTTCTCCATGACCAGGTTTCCCCCCTCAAGTCGCATAAGGGATTCTAGTCAATTCTCTACATGCTTATGACAGACTTGAGCTTTCCAGGGGTTTGGGACATGGAAAATAATGTCCTCCACCGACAGCCTCACAGAGGCCACTCGGTCTTGTCAGCATTGGTCCCTTAGCAAAATAAGATAAAAACCCAGGTGCCTTTCAGTGTCCTGGCACCTACAAGGGAGCTCTTCTTGTTTTGCACAGGTCTCTCCAGGAGGCGGGCGGGCCCCGGAGCCCTGTCTTTGGTGCTCAGGCCCAGTAGCTCTTGCTGGACTCCACCTTTCCTGCTTTTTCCCAGTTCCTCCTCCCAACAGCCCCAGAAATGCGTCACCACGCAAGGCCCAGTGAAGCTTTTGTTCCTCCATAAGAAAGGACAGCTCTACGCTACATTTGTTATCTGCCTACTGAAGAGTCTGCCTTAAGCTCCTGGCTGTAAAGTGCACTGGCACTGGTGGTTGTAAAGAGACCCTTCTCAAGGGTCCTCATTTGTGTTGAATTCTACCTGCTACGCTGAGCACCGTCTCCGGCCACAGCAGCCTCCTGCCCTAGACTGTGTGCAGGGACCCTGGCGGCACCTGCCTCTCTCTGGGGTCCCACTGCTGCAGGTGGCTTACCTTCATGTGGGATTTGAGATTGTCCTTGCGAGCACACCGGAATGGGCAGAGCGGACACTGATGACTTTTTAAACCTGTGTGGATCACCATGTGCCGCTTCCAGTAACTCTTCCTTTTTATAACCAAACCGCAAATCGGACACTGGAAAGGCTTCCCGCTTTCCTCTTCTGAGGCTTGGAGGAAGGAGAGAAAAGGAACGTCAGGGAAAACAAGTAGGCACATCGAACCTGGCACCCATGCCCATGTGCTGCTGCATAAAAAGCACAAAAAATGACCTAGGGTTTTTTTTTTTTTTTCCCCCTTTGATGATTCCCAGATTTTACCCTTGGGCACATTTTGTGACTGCTTTGCTTCAGGTAGAAACCCATGTTCACCTAGTCACTTCTGCCTGGGTCCCACTGGCCCAACTCTGACCATCCGGACTGAGGAGTCTCCCGGGCGAGGGCCATCCCTCGCTTAGGAGGGCCTTGCGAGGCCTGCGACCTGCTGGCTCAGGGCCCTCCATGCCCCCTCGGCCACCATCGAAGGCTGAATTCAGGGCTTTTGTTTCCTGAAGTTAACCAACAAGTGAGTCCCCTCCTAGTTCCCTGATATGGGTGAGAACTACAGACAGACCCAATGGGACGGAGAACAAGGCTCTGGTCCTCTGAAAACCAAACAGCTATCATCAACCTCACAGGCTGAACTCCAGTGGAGACAGATTTTCGGATCCCCACTGCTGACTTGTTTAGCGGTGGCTTGTGCAGATAGATGCTGCTGCCAATTTAGCCATCAGGGGGCCCCGAGGTCAGGGCTTTTCATCCTCTTATTTCTGTCCCTCTGGTGGCTACTGACAATGCGAGCCGTCTTCCTCTGCTCTGGACTGGGCCTCACTGTCTGCTTTGGGAAGAGCCACAGTAGGCCACCACAAATGTTTCCATTTTTCAAGAAAGCGAACACACCGGCTCCCCCTCCAAGCAAAGCTTGGATCATCTCTTCCGCCCCAGCCCCACGAGGAGGCTCTCTGCTGCGACTGTGGACTCACACCAACCTTGTGACGAGGAGACTCGGGAATGACACCACGGAGAGCTGAAGGCTCCGCTGTTCCTTTCTAAAATCATGAGGAATCCGAAATATTTCCAAACCAGAGAAGCATTTTTTTAAAAAAAGTAAAATAAACCACACGAAGCCATTTAAAATGAACTGATCTCCATCTAATGTGGTAACATGTCCGAGATATTAGGGTCAGAGGATAAAGCGAGACACAAAACCACATGTCCAAGGTGAGCCTATGTTTATTCTCTAAAAAAAGAGAAACCAATTGCTGCTGGAACCATCGGGTAAAAGATTAATAGGGAACTTATTTATTTATTTTTGGAACTGGGGGTTGAAGTGGGTGCTTAACCACTGAACCACATCCCCAGACCTTTTTATTTTTTGTTTTGAGATGGTAAGTTAATGCTCTGTTGCCCGGGTTGGTCTTGAACTTGCCGTCCTCCTTTTCTTAGCCTCCTGCAGGGAGAGCAGTGCATGCCACCCCACCGGGCTGACAGGGAACATGCTAAAGGGTGGATCAAACAACACTCAGCACCACTAGAAATGAGACAGGCACTGTGTGCCTCCTGATAGGCCATCGATGAAGTGTTCCTATAAAAAAATTAATTAAGCCTCTAATCAGCAGTTTACCAGAAATACATGTTAAAAAATAGTAATAATAAGTTAAACCCACCCAGGGAATCGGCCCAATCCAGAATGTGGGAATTCCTCAGGGGAAATGACCCAATTTCTTCAATATGTAAATGGCATTTTAAAAAGGGAAGGGATTACGGACTTTAAAAAGTCTTAAGGGATAATATATAAGACAAAGGAAAGGTGGGAGATTTATCTGGATCCCATTTAAACAACGCAATGGTTAAGAAAAGACATTTTTGAGATTGTGGAGGAAATCTTGATCACTGCCTGGTGTTCCGTAATACCATGCAGCCACCGTAGATCCCGTTCGATGTGACAGTGGCAAGGTGGTTATTTTTTCCAAGTCCTTATCTTTTGGAGATATAAAAATATGAAAGTATTTACAAGCCAACGGACATGGTATCTGGGACTTGCTTTGAAATATCTGGGTAAGAAAATAACAAAGAGGGAGTGGAAAAATCGGCATGAATAAATGAAGCAAAAAAATGACATCCACGTATCCACGCATGAACGTTTTCTGGAAGTGCACCCAAGTTACTGCGGTAGGATCGTGGATGAAAGGGCAGTTTGGGGTGGAAACCTGCATTTTTCTCTTTCTATCCTTCTGTGCTGTTTGAATTTTTAAATGCACACCTCACTTTCTAAATTTTAAAAAGGAAACATCCCAAGTGTCTACTTTAAGATAATCTCACACACTTATTGAGTCAATTGACTTTCTACTCTACATGCAAAGGGCCACTTGAAGTGGACGGGAGTCCTGGAAGATTCTGGAATAAAGTTATGGAATTCAAGAAATGCGGTTTTACCGAGAGATGGGTACAGGCCACACTGGTTAGTTTCACGGAGCCATTTGAAGAATCCTGTGACTAAACCTGTGCCCTTCAGGCCTGTATGGTCCGGCTCCTTGCAACGTGTCCGCTGTGGGTACTTCCTTGCTCGAATGGGGTGGGGTGGGACTGAGGTGCCCTTTCACTGGGGGGAAATGCGCTTGTGCAGGCCTGGGGTAAGCATCCTTGCTCTCGGTCGACAGTGCCCATCCGTCTTCTGCCCCGTAGACTTTTCTCTTTCTTCCCTTCATTTTTATTTCTCCATCCTGACATCTTGGTCGCAAGCCCTCCGGCTGAACAACAGATCTGAGAGAAAGGCCCGCACCAGGACCCTAGGTGAGAAAACGGTCCTTCAACACAGGGAAAAGAATGACCGTGATGCCAGTTTGGGGTTGGAAGGACATCAAAGAGAAGGAGATACCAACAGGCTGCTCCTGGTCCCCAACTTCAGGAGGTATTTCCCACTGACCCTAGGCTGCCTAATTTTACAGAACTACCTAGGAGAGGGGGGGAAAAAAACCGAGATGTCCTCCACTAGTCAGAGACTGAATGGCACACCAGAGGAAAGCCATAAGAAGACATAATCTAGAAGAACAAATATGTCTAGATGGCAGGGTCCCCTACCACCTTGCCTTGCCTAATACGACCAATGTGCTTCCTAGTCTCTCGGACACCTTCCCAGGCACCACCCTAATCAACGACTTTATATTTCAAGTGTTATGCTAGAGTATGCTACATTAAATCCTGCATATTAGTATTTCATATAAATCCATTTCATTTTGGAGCTAGGCTTCCTTAGTCTTAATTAATACCAGAATATGTATGAATTGTGCACGAATTATGGTGTCCTTGGGTTGACTGGGAGAAAAATTAGAATCCTCACAATAAGAATAAATGCAACAAATGTGGCCAAACAGTTACACTCCTGTAACTGGAAGGTCTAACTGATCACGGCAGCATAGGAAGAAAATAGAAGCTAAATGGCAAAAGTCAATAGAAGACAAAGACTGATTTTCAAATTTGGCCAGTAATCTCCCCTAGTAACATTTACATTTTTATTTATTCAAGGAGGAAATGTCACATTTTAGTAGGACATCCTCCATGTGTACCTGATGTTAACTACTTCGGAGCAGGAGGAAGCAGGAATGCGTTCTATTTCCTAGGCCAGACTATTTTCAGGGAACTGAGAGCTATAAATTTTCACTCTGATTTAGAGCTCGGGGAGATATGGTCACTTCCTCATGATGAACCATGCATTCTTGGGGCAATGGGACTGAAATGTTCGTGATTTTACCTAGTTGACAACAGCCTGATAAACAGCTTCTCTTCTTCTTCTTACTAACTAGTTAGTAACCGTGCAAACAAAACTAAATTCCACCAAGTGCTAATAGACCCAGTGGGAGCGAGAGCTGCTAATTTGCTCCTTTGGATAAACCCCGTTCTCTTTATAGGCAATCATATTATTGGAATAAAAGAGATAATGAATGTATATAAAACGCCTGTCACATGGTAAATGGAAGCTCTTGGTAGTGGCAATTGTTGCACTGATAGCAATGACTATAAACTCTAGGTGTACCCTCCAAAGCAGAAAACTCATCCCCAGAGCAGATGCAAATTGAAACAACTGACAGCACATAAAAAACACGCAGCTCCAGGCCCGGCCCGCCATGGTAATAAAGGAATGGGAGTCCATTGTGCTGCCAGGAGAGGGTCTCACTCAGCCTAGACAAACTCCTGATGGCCCAATTCAGCTCAGCAGGGATAAAAGAGATGGAAGAGATGGAAGGGCAGAGGAAGAAGGAGGAGAGGGCCGTGGCTGGGGCAGGGACTTACCTTACCTTTGTGTTTCCAGCAACGTTAACAGTGCCAGGTCTGACACAGGTTCCCCCTGGTCAGTGTCGTTGGCTGTGATGAGACCATATGGAAAGGGCTGGGCTGAGGGGGCCAAGTAAAGCCCCAGGTGGGAGTGGAAGGGAGATGTGCAGGAGGTGCCAGGAAGTCCCAGTGGACCAGTGTAGCCCCTGGGCGGATGCCTCTCCCACAGCAGGCCAACACCTGGCCTGAATGGATGGACAGGTGAGCAGGCGGATCTTGTACTCAGGCCTCAGCCATCTCCAGAAATGAACTCGGAACAGCTGATGTTAATAGTGGACAGTGTGGACTATATCTTTAATAGAGGACGTGATACATGCTCAACTATCCGCCATGGACAAGTTCTGCCCAAAGCAGAGGTGACCTTGTGGGAGGCTTGATCGGGAACTTTAAGAAGCCACACATTTCAATTCAAAAATAGAAAAAAAAATGTTTGTTTTGAGTTAATAGACAATTAGGTTAGGAAATAAGCAGTAAGTAATTGCAAGGTGTGTTTAAAAAAAAAAAAAGGAGGAGGAGGAGGAGGAAGAGGAGGAGGAGGAGAGGAATCTTAGAGATAATTCCAAACCAGCCCAATTTACAGATGAGGAAACTAAACTGCGGTAGTATGTTTAAAATTTTTCTGCAAGTGACCTAGTGGCAGGGCTAGGATTAGAGCCAATCTCTACATTTCCAATTGGGTTTTCTACCCTATTGTCTAAATATAAGTCCACAAAACAACAAGAACAAACTTTGATAGGACTAAAAAAATATTGTTAATCATGGAGAGTTTTAGTCGCTTAGGTATTTTCTAAACAAATGTCATTGTTCTATAGACTTTGAAATCAAACTTTCTCTGGGTAAATGTTATGTGGCAATTTGCAGAAAGTCAAGAGCCTTTGCAAGTGAGTAAATCTGCATACAGACCTGGCCACACACACAGAAGTTCAAGATGCCAGCTGACCTTGTAAGTGCATAATCCATGCATCATTACCATCTCCACTTCAGACTTTCAACACCACTGGTGCACATCTGTGTAGGATAACCTATCTTCCCTTCTAATAATATGCATGGATATTATTAAGGATACAAGTAATATTATTTCTAATAATATACATGGGTATTATAGTGAATAGAAACAATATTATTTCTAATAATATACATCTTCTAGTGGAATTTCTTGGGCGTATATCTCAAATGCTATTTCAGGTCAACAAAAAGCAAAATCGTGTTAGCAAAGGATATCAATGGGTGTACCTGCTGTTATTCATGCTGCCATTATCAATGCATACTCTAGCAAGTATTCAACAAAACTAAGGTACAAGTCTGATATTGACAATCAGCCTAAGTTTAAATCTTTAGGGGAATGTCACGGAGATTAATGACAGTTCTGAATCTTGGTTAAAAAGTGAATTTGTAGACGTTCATATATGTGATCACAGATTAAGGCTATAATAAGCATGGATGAAAATATCAGGAGAGGTCATCTCCTGCTCTGAACTTTCTATGCTCCTGCAATAATTTTAATCACATCCCATAAATATGAAAGGAAACAGAATCCGGAACACTCTTATGCATTGACCCAGGAAACAGTTTCAGCTCTCTACTGTGTGAGACCAAGTTGCGTGTAAGTACATATATAAATTTCATTCGGGACCATGGGGTGTTCTGGAGACCCTCTCTCTGAAACTCTCCCTGGTATTTCTTTAACTAGGAGCTTGGCACCCGGGACTCTTGTTGGCCTTCTACAAGAAACTTTGTCTTGAAAATAAAAACCATTTATTTTATTCTTAGCTGCAACAGAACAGTAGCTTCAAAGAGAATTGAGTCAATGTGTGACATTTATCTTTATAGCAAACAGACATCATTTTCCCTCCATCGTGTCCCCTTTCAGAGAAGCAGTGTAGCATGTGCTGGGGGGTGCAGGGTCACATGAAAGAATCCTCCTGCTCCAGTGTCACATCTCTGTGGCGGGGTGGAAAGGCTACCGAGTGGTGGACTCTTAAGGAATTAAATACACCATGACTCGGCAACAACAAAATCCTGTTCAAAAAAGAAGAATAAGGCCAGACCTAAAAGACACTTTTTTTTTTTTTTTCATGGTTTGGACTTCCCTCGACCTAAAGAAGGTCAAAGCAATGCTGGTGTCTAAATTACTCAAGACGGGATCATCTTCTCTGGTGCACAGCTCTTTGAGCTCTTTGGAACTCCAGAATCAACTTTATACGCTCTTTTTGCAACATTTTGGGAGACAGCTTTTAAAAAATTAAAAACCGAAATCAGGAGGGTGTGTATTTTATTTTTGTGGCTTTATATTTGTGTGTGGCCAGGAGGTGAAGGTGGAAAGCGTATTATCTGTTTATTTAAGTCATTAGGCAACAGAAACTCTTTCCCTGCTATGAGAAGTCAGCCCACCTATTTTGAATTAAGATTTCTTTCTAAAATGCAGAGAAAAAAAATAATACTAGTGAGAAATGTTTAAAAACAGGGCTGTCTGTTTGCTATGAAGATGAATGTCACACATTAACTCAATTCTCTTTGAACCATACTCTCATAATCCTTCTTAGGTAAAGTTGGAGTCCTATTGGAATCTAGTTCCCAGGTTGCCCTGAGATCAACAGTATAGTGTGGAAGCTGGCGGGGTGCAGAGTGGGAGCTGGGAGATACGGGGATGGAGAAAACCGTCTACCCCCTTTCCCTTCTACTCCGCAGACTGCAAAATCAGTGATCATGAGGATCAAGTCTCTCATGGTGAAAAGATAAATAAAATCACTCGATGGATTCCTTAACTCACCATCAAGCTGGGCTGCTGAGGAGCAATGACATTCACCTTAACTGTAAGAGCTCCCTGGGGCCAGTCCATCCAAGAAAGACGCAGAACCTGGGCTGAGGATGTGTCCACATGGACGCAGAACAATTTCAAGGGCCTCGTGGTTTTGAATCTTTCCTCTTGAATGAGTTTTTTTTAAAAATGAAAGATTCTTTTTTAATGTAATTACTCCACGGATGGAGCTGTTTCATGGGGTCTTGGAGTGTGCACAGATGGAGCTGTTTCACGGGGTCTTGGAGTGTGCACAGAGACATGGGGAAACAGGGCTGGGGGGCTGGGCAGGGGTCACTCGGCAGGGGTCATCCAGCCCAAATCTGAGGAGTCCCTTTCCCTCTTCTTTTGACTTGAACATTTTGAACATTCACTGAGATATTATTAAGTGTTTCAGCAAAAGAATCAATTCAGTAAAAAGAAGAGGGGGAAAAAAATGATCTTTCTAAGATCTCCCAGGTTAAATTCTGCTGAGAAGACCTTGGAGATGTTGGCCTGGGCTAAGTGCATCTAAATTAAAAAGGGAAAACATGTTTTTTACCCTCGGGTGCACATCCTCCAACAAAACAAACAAACCAAAAGCTTGTGACCCCTTTCTCCTCTTTACATGCTTCTAATCATTTGGGTGAAAAAGTTACATTTCACAGCCACTGCTGGCTAATCCAGAGACCACTTTAAAATAACAAAGCCGCTATAAGTTGGCCTTCAGGAGACATGGTTTTATCACTCACTTCTTTCCAAGCCTCTAGTCAACTAAGTTTATTATTAAATTTGTATAAGCTTTTCCAAGTAACTAGTGTCCAGACAAAACTGTATTGCAAAGGGCATTCATACATTTATGCAATGAGTGGAATCAGAGAACATACACAGAGCCTTCCTTCTCTCCGCCACTCTAAATAAAATTTCTATAAACCCGGAGTGATGTGTTCCACTGCAGCATTACCCAGCTCCCTCTCCTCTTCTTGTTTCCTGACTGTATCCATGTTTCTCCTCCTTTCACCAGATGGCAGGTGAGAAGTTACAAGAAATGAAACTCAGAATTGATAAACATTTCGAGGTTTTTATGGACACTTCTGAAACTCGGGAGGGAATGGTGTGCATCAATGGAGTCATCCAGGTCCCAGATACCCATTGTCTTAGTTCTATTCTGCTGTTTATACAGTTTTCAAGTAATTATAATTAGGCATATAGCCCACTCAGCCATTTAAATGGAAGTCTGTCATGAATACATCAAATTGATGTTAGCTGTGATCATTCGGTCCAGTATGTGCCGTCCCAAGCACTCTACCAATGTTGTCCCAGATCACTGAAAGTTGGCCAGACACACACAGTGGTGGTGTTTATACCAAGGAGCAGACACGCAGCCCACTTCCTGTTCCGGTCTAACAGGATATCCCTTAGGAGACATCCGAAACCCCTATTTCCATCCCCAGAAACGTGTATTTATCATGCACACAGCTTTAAAGCATACCAGCACACAAAGTGACATTTCCACGGTGAGAACTCAAGTGACTAAATCTCTCCCTTGGATGATTAATTGTGAATGCCAAGGCTCTATGTGACAGTGACCTCTCCTTCGGAAAGATGGTCTCCCCTAGAAAAACCCACGATTCAGATTTTCCAATGCACATTCCTTCAGATTGGATTTGAACAACATAAAGCGTTTGCAAGAAATGCTTGGATCATGTTTCACCATTATTTTTTTTTAAGAGTTCTTAAATGGCAAGAAATGATAGAATAGGATAAATAAAAGGTTTAAATTCTACCCCCCAAAAAAAAGGTAATAATAAAAATGCTCACATAAAAGTGTATATTGTGATAAATTAGGGCAGAGTAGTTAGTGATTATACAAAAATCCATTTGTACAGAGGCAGCAGGGCGCTCCCTTGCCCACTATTTCAAAAGCAGTGGTTTTTTCCCTCTGTGTTCAGTGATGCTTTGCACTCCATGACAAAGATGCTTTGATCTTCCCCATTAAATATATCTGGTATGGACCTAGCCTGAACTTGGTAAGGGGAAAAAAAAAAAAAAGCTGTATGAAAGGGAGGGAGTACTGTATGTCTCTAAGATTATTCATTACCTTTCAAAAATGAAGCTATTTGTGAAGGCTTTGTGTAACACACACATGAAAGACTTACTACGCTGCTTACTTAAAGTATTTGTTGTGCTCCTGCTTTTTTTTTTTTATTTTTTATTCCTTCCCCAACTCAGACAGGGACCCAACTGCAAAAGGCAATGAATAAGACCCGCAGCTGAGAGAGCCACAGACTTACCCAGTGACGGAAAGAAAAGATTCCATACCTGAACTGGAGGGTTTGGAAACTCTTCCCTTGGGAACGGGGAGTAACAATAATTCCAAGGACTGTGGCGGTGGCGGCGGGGGTGGCGGAGGTGGCGGTGGGGGTGGCGGGGTTACTTTTTCTGGCTTCTTCTCAGAAGGCGGTGGCGGTAGAGGGTCCTCGGGCAACAGGGATGACTTCTCGGCCAGGAGGCTGCCGGCAGCCCTTGCTGCGACCTCTTTCAGAAGGGCCGCTGAGGAGGTCATAGAAGCCAGGGACAGGAAAGAGCTGGCCGGAGGTGGGTGCTCCTGACCAGGAGTCAAACTTCTCTCACTGACCTTCTTGGACAAAGCTGCCAAGGTCGAGCTGGCAGACTGGGAGCTAAAGGGGGAGGAAAAGGACTCAAATCGCATGGTCTCCTCCGTCCTGGTGAGAGATTTGTCCTGCAGAACAGCATTGGCTGCGGCTTTCAGCTTGAGGATGGCTGAATCCGGGGACAAGCCGCAGGTGGTGGTTGAGTTTGGCAACCACTTACCTTGGTTCCATATAAAACGGTTACTTGGAGTGTACTGGTCATTCTGCTCCTGCTTCTCAGCCAGCTTCCTGGCCAGAACGCTGAGCTGCTGGGCATGATGGGACGGCGGGGAAAAGGAGAGGTTCGAGCCAATGTTCACAGGGGACTCCACTCGGCCATTGGCCGTGGCCGTGGCTTCGAGTTTGAGGGAGCCAGCCTCCAGCAGCCTCCTTAAGTTGCTGCTCAGGGGTTTATTGGAACCCGGGGGGTCATCTTCACACAAAGAAGACACTCCGGGGGAGAGGTGGTCTTGGCACTGCAGTGAGTCTCGCAGGACCTCACCATCGAGCGCCACCAGCTCCAGCGTGTGGCTGCTGGGAGTGGCACTTCCCAAGGAGGTGTCGGGGGAAGTGGACTGCTCCTGGATCCGGTCCTCCAGAGACAGCTTATAGTTCTCCTGGACTTCTCCATAGGATGCTTCTGACGGAGTCTCAGAAGAGTTTCCATACCAGGGCTCTCCTTCACTGAGTTCTCCCTCCGCCTCTTCCTGCCTACTAACATCTGGGGGAATTAAGAAGATCGGGTTTACTTCCAAAGTGAGCAGCAAGTTAGTCTCAAGACAGCACATGGAGACGATGACAAGCCTTCCCTTCCCTTCCACCCAAGAACCCAATCAATGAAAGTCAGCAAGGGCCCGAAGAGCAGTCAGGAGCTGAATCAGGCACAGGCATGATGCTGAACAGGCAGAGGAACACACACCCCACGTACCATCTGTATTCATTTTTCCAGTAATTATTCAGGGTAAGTTGGTTGGGAAAAGCAGAAAAGATAAAAAACAATCTGGTGAAGAAGTGACAGGTGAAACAAACAAACAAACAAACAAACAAAAAAACAAATGGCTATTCTGAATGAATGGGGAAACAGAAAGAAAGCGGAACCCTTGCAAAAAAGGAGCACCCTATCTTCAGTAGAGCGTCAGAATTCAAGAGCAGCCTGGTAGATTGGGGGAACTGTTGGCGGTGAGACAAGACAGTGGGAATTCGCTTCCTCACTTTCTAACTCCTGATCTCAGAGGCAGGTCACTTACCTGGTTTTGAGGCTTCATTTCCTCCAATATAAGATGCACGTAACTTTTTCAAAAGCTTATCCAAATATGTTAACAATACTTGCCCAATTCCCTTCACTCTATGAAGCTTACATCCTAAAAAGCATGTGACCATGTTTTGCAAACAGTTGAGCACTGTATAAAAGCCAGATCTCATTAGCAACGCCATTCGCATTACCGATGCCCTGCCGCCACGGCATGCCCACGTTCTGGGTGCTACTTGCTTGAGGTCTGAGATTTCAATCACCAACATGCTTGCCACGTCCTTAAAGCAGTGATCAGCGTGTTCCTTCACCCTACTAAGAATCCCCTTGAGATATTTCCTATTCATTAATTTATCGACCCGCCACCAGCCCTCCCACGGCCCCCAGCTAGGTGGACTCTGCCAGTCCAGGAGCTCTTGGGAGCTCAGCTGCGTTTCTGTCTTTGCTCATGAAATCCCATCTGGAATGTCCTTCCACACCCAGCTCCAGGGTTTCTTCCTTGCAGTTCTCCCTAGAACTCTCAGAACGGGTCTCTCCTAATCCCTTCGTTCACTCGTTGGACCAATAATGACGGGATACTTGTCGCACGCATGTCAGGAATTGTTCTAGATTGTTCAAGACTGTATTCTAGATTGAACAGCATTAAACAAAAACTAAGGCCCTGCTGTCTTGGAGCTTACGTATCAGTGGAGGAGGAAGACAGATGTTAAACAAAGTTAATAAATAATAAATCATATAGTATGCCAGAGGGGTGATAAGCGCTGAGATAAACAAAACAGAAAACGTAGAGCAGGATAAAAAGAATGGACGCAAGCTGTAATTTTAAATAGAGTGGACAGGGTGGGGCTTCACCGAGGCGGCGACATTTGAGCAGCTGTCCACGCGCAAGTGTTCCGCGTAGAGAGTCACTGTGAAAGCCCCAAGGACATACCTGACGGGTCCCTGGAACATCTAGGAAGCCAAATGGAGTGAGGGAAGGTCAAAGCAGTGGGAGGGGTGGTCAGAGGGCGGCATGCGTGGGTGTGAGTGTGCAGCTGTGCTGGAGCGAGCGTGTGAGTGACAGTCTCGCGAGTGTGAGCTGTGAGTCTTCTGCATTTGGCAAAACTGGGAGCCAGAGAGGGTGCTGGGTGGAGAAATGGAATGAGGGGACTTACAGTGCCAAAGGACAGTCCTGGCTGCTGTGTGGGAACAGGTTGCAGGTACTGGGTGGGGCAGGGAGATCCAGGCAGGAGGCTGAACCCAGGTGAGGGAAGGCGGGGCTCAGCTCAGGTGACACTCAGGAAGTGCCCTGAGTGCATATTTGGAAGGCGCAGCTGACATTCTCTTCTTCTGTTTATAGTTTTTTCATATTTCCTATCACTTTAAAGTGTCTGTCTCTTGTTGGCTTCCTTCCTACAATGGTGCTCCTTGAGGACAGGGATTGTGCTTTATTTTCTGCTTCTCTGGCAGAGTTCAATGAATGTTTCGGGACTGAGCCAAATTCCTCACTGTGCCAGGCTTTGCCACATCACAGGCTGTTTCCTTTCAGAATAGAAACAGCTAGAGCTAGTAATGCATGAACTACAAGCTAATACATTGATCTTCCCATGCTATTTAGAGAAGAAATGTCACAAATGACAAATTCTCTTTCACTAAGCTAAAGTTCTGCAACTCTTTCCGGAGATTCTTTATTAAGTTATCAAGAAAATGTAAAATATCAAATGGAATTTGCTGGGAAAAAGCAGGTAAAATTGAATTTTCTCTGTTAAAACCAGTCTGGTTCCTTGAGATTTGCCACATTTCCCTCTGCCCACTTGATTTCAAGATTTTTCATCTCTCCTGAAATTGGCGGTGACCCCAAACTCCTCGGCTCCCCAATGGCTTCTCCTGGGAGGGATGCTTTTTTACCAAGCATCCTATTTAACAATAGGGCTAATTTTATGTTTCTTTAGCAAACCACCTTTCTTGATTTCAGACTAAATATCGCATCTTTCCAAAGAATCAAATGGGAATTCTACTATAAATAGCAAAAGAAGTAAAAGATGTAAAAATCACTCCAGCAAGAATTAATTGATCACTCTTCTTCGATCTTTATGGATACTCATGAAATAAAAGAACGGGAACGTATATGCTTCCAAATTAAATATTTTTATATTATATTTTTGTCAGATCCAGAGAGTTAAGCCTGGCCCTGAACCAGTATAGTAAGTGGCAGCTAACAAGGTCTATAAAATCAGGTTTTGAGAACCATAAAGTTTTAAGCACAGGACCGATTTTGTCACTTTACTCCGACTGTTAAATACACTAAAGTTTACTGATCAAATCAGAGCCACAGAGCCACTAAGAACTAAGGCCAGAACCAAGAATCCAGAATCTTTGCACTCCTGGCCCAGGAGCTCTCGGCAAAACTTGTCACCCAACCTGCTAGGGGACTTCCCTGTGGCCACTTGCACAGAGCTCTGAGCAGCATCCCTGCCCTCCCACCCCAACCAGCCTTCCAGACTCTTGAGTCAGAGGTCAGCATGGGGTTCTCCTGGATAAGGGCAGCATGCAGGCTCCCTCATGAGATAAGCCATGGAGAGGTGAGGACCATCATTCCATCATCTCCTGGTCCCTTATGGCGGCATCTTCTTAGTTGCTGTGGGTACAAGTTGATTCAACTGCCTAAAGAATTTAGCACATCTACTGGCATAGTCCCTTTAAAGGCAAAGCTTAACTTCCTAACTCCCTCCATACCCTCAGAGAGCCACATGTCCCCCTCCCAACGTGCTGAGGCAGTGAGTGGGCCGAAAGCTGAAGAAGTTGTCGATGCAGCTTCGGGGACATCGAGTGTTCTAGAATGTTACAGACAACTAGTATCTATGGTTCAGGCAACTTTCCCAACCTTGCCAAATCACAAACCCAAATCCAATAAGCAAGGAACCAAAGCATCTCCTACACAGAGCGGTTTATGTCCCCAGAAATACTTGCATTTTTCTCAACCATCTATTCCTCCATTCTTTGAGATGTAATCACTGAGATGCACACTCTTCAGGACTGTCAGAAAACTTGGACACATAGAGAAAAAAAAAGTATATATATATATATATGTGTGTGTGTGTGTGTGTGTATGTGTGTGTGTATTTTTTTAAACTCATAATACTCTACTAGTCACTTTTCCAAAGAGGCTTCTTGTAAAATTAAAGCTATCCGAGTAATAACCATCAAAGAATTTTAGCATGCGGTCTTAAAAAAACAAGAACAGAAATTTGAGGGGAAACATCTAAAATTATTCAGCATCCCATGAGGTCACATGAAAGGTGCAGGAAGCTTAGAGAAAAATGAATATAAGATAAGTAAGGTTGTGAAGAGGAAAAAAATCAGAAGAGGTGCAAACAATATGATTTCAGTTCACAAAACTGCAAGGATTTTTCTCCCAGAAATATTGTTTATTTATATTGACGAATTTATTTTGTCTGCCAGGCTCCTCTCTGTTTTCATGTTCCGTTTCACAGAGGAGGGGTTCTTGGAGGATGCTCTGATACAGCTGCTGTGCGCACCCCGCAGGGCACCCTGCACCTTTCACGCCACATCATGGGAACAGGTGCTCTGTTTGGGAGGCTCACCAGGAAGCTCTCCTGCAACCTCCAGGATGAGGCTGCCGGACACAGCAACCCTCAGGACACGCCAGCCTTGCCTTTCGCCTCTCTCTGCCGCCATCTGAGAAATCCCAGCAGTAAGACACCTCCATTTTCCTGTCTGTCAACCAGCACGGAGTCTTCCTGGGAAATCGCAGAGCAGCGAAAGGTCCTGGAAGTGCTTCCTGTGGATTTCACAGCTTTCTTAACTAAGGCATCCCGGGAAGCCTCTAAGTGGCCAATGCAAATAACTTCTAGTAAATACATTATTTTTAACCTTCAGAAAAAGAAGCTATTTCCATTGCTAATCTTACAACAACCTCTGTCTCCAGACTGTTGGGTTCACACTGCTTCTTGTGAGTTTTACACAATAGTCTATCTTCGCATGTATATTTTCCCTTTAAAAATCAGCAACTCGGAGAATTAAGAATAAAAATGGTGCCATCTCAGTATGAAAACACACTGAATGAAATTTTGTTTCCATGTCGTGAACATTTTTCTATCGGGGAAAACAAAATTCTACTACCTAGCACATTTATTTATAGTTCGGTTCTTAAGCAGCAAGTGGGTACCCAATATCCACAGTTCCCCCCACATTCTCTGAGAAAAGTTCCTTTGCCATTCACTTCCTTCTTGGTTGACAGTATTAACTGGATGTATTTGACTGGAGCAATACTTAACTCAAAGCATCCTCACTCAGAAGGATCAGGGCAGAGAGAGAAATAAGAATATAGAAGAAAGAGACACCTATTAATTTTCATGTCTTTGGGCTTAGGTTGAAGCAAGGGTAGATGGAAACCTAAAAGTGCCTTTTCTAAATCTATCCACACACCCTTGCCTCCTGGGTCCACATGAATCTAGCCAGCAGGTTTTAAAGACTACAGGGCTGACTAAACCTCTTAGGACTCATAACCAACAGTCAACGTCTCCAACATCCCCCCAGATGTGTTTACCTGGCACCAACCAACAAACCTTCTGGCTCATTTTCATCTAAAAATCTTCCAAGTCTTCCCTTCCTGCCTAATACACAACTACAGCTGAATGTCTACAGCTAGCTTTCAAGGCCACACATGTGGACCAGTATTAGCAATTATTACCTGTAACATGTGCCGCAAATCATACAACTACACTTTAGGGCAACTTGATTAAAAAAAAAAAAAAAAAGGTGGTTTGTAATGTTCAAAGAGCCGTATACAAAAGTTATTGACAAAATCAATGCTAATAATGGATATAATTCAAACACTTACTGAACACTATGTTCGAGGAGATGTTCACAGCAACAGGGAGATTCAGATGCCCAACAGTCTCTGACCTGACAGTTTATAATCCACAGGGAGGCGAGGGTCACAAGAGCATTCTATTCACAAGGGCTTGAGCCACCACAAAGGAACATAGCACAGGTGTGTGAGCACAACAGGATTAATTCCACTGGTGCAGGGGGCTTTGGAAGTGCACCTCAAGAGATGAAGAGTTAAATGGGAGATGCTGGGAAATAATTTCTAAACAGGCTCGCTCCTCTGCAAACTATCAGAAAGGACAGGCTGTCCGGTGGTGGAGAATGCCAATATTAGGTGGTGTTATTTTTAAAAGGTGAAGAATTAAGAATGCCAAATAAATAACTGACCTCAATGAAAAAATTCTTAGATCCTTAATTCTTTGCATTTTAGAAACACAGGACCTATTGATTCCTTAAAGGTAGACTTTACCAATTATCTCAGTGTACTTGCTGGACTTGAAATCCAGCCACAGATCATAAACGCCTTGAGGCCGGGCCGTGAGTTAGTCACCTTGTGCTCTGGCTCAAGCCCTGCTTGTAGTAGAGGTGCTAGGGCTTCTGTGATGGCAAATGGCAGTGGACCAGCAGGACTGCGCCAAGCAGAAAGGGAATTTTCTCAGTTCTTGTACCAAACAATGGAAGGGGCACAATGGAGCTGGGATCAGATAGGATGTCAAAAGCACCATTTGCCTCTAGTTTCTCCCTCTCAGGCCACTTTTCCCAGGAGACTGAAAGCCTGGCTGCCACAGGCTCCGGGTTGTCACCCTCTATGACTTTCCACTGGAGAAAGGTCTTTCCCCCTCTGATTGGCGGGCTGGAGGTCACATTGCCCTGCCTGGGCCTATCACTGAAGCCAGAGGGCGGTTCTACAGTGGGCTCAATGTGGGTCAGAGAAGAAAGGCGAGGGGAGAGGTACCAGGAAGACAAAAGCAGTGACCTCCATCATGCTTCATAAAGGTCTCTTCTGCTGCATAGCGCGCCGTTCTGATCCAACTTTGTGATGTGAAGCATAAAACACATCTATCCACATTCGGACTGGTTTTACCTGCCGGTTTTTAAACTGTCCCTTTGTTCGCCTTAGCACATTTCCCACACCAGGTCTGCCTGCCACTAAGGGACATCGTGGGGTCTTGAGGGCTCCAAGTCCACTGACGGAGGTCAGCGCACAGCCCGCCATCGGCTCCACAGGACGCAGACTCGGAGACCACGGTGTGGACACATGGATGCCCGCGGCACCCAACTGCTGTCAGTGTGGCCAGGAAGAAAATCTAGAAACTGCTAGTTATTTAAAACTGCCAGGGTGGAGAAGACAACCGGATTCCTGTCACCAGGCCAGCTGGGGGAAAGGTGCTGTGTGCTGGAAGGCCCCGGGGAAGGGACAGGAAGTCAGGGGAGAAGACACGCTGAGACAGCAGAGGGACTCCCGGGTCAGGGTCCGTTTCCACGCCTAGCTGTGTCTTCCAATGATTATTTTGAACGTCCAGGATTTTTTTTTTTTTTAAGGTAATGAAAAGGAACTCATCACTCCGTATCTTCAAAGTCAGTTCCACTGTGTCTCAACTAGATTCGGTATTCTCACAGAAAGGGCCAGATCCTTCCTGGGCACGGAACTGGCCATGCGCCTCCATTAAGCTTCTGCTCATCTCCACATCAATGGCAAGTCCTCCCTCCTTCCGACAGCTTGGACCCCAAACCCTGCAGCCACCCCTGATCCCTCTCTTTCTCTTATACTCCCCTCCTAAATCATTCATGGATTCTGTTGGCTTTCTACCTTGGATACACATCCCAAATCTGGCCAGTTTTCTCCATGTCAGTCACTACCCCCTGGTACACATCTCTGCCGTCCCTGGCCTGGACTCCTGACCTCCCCTTCTTACCCTGCTGGCCTCGACCAGCAGCCAGAGAGAGCTTTCCAAAGTACTATGTCAGACCCAGCTGTACCACTCTTCAAGATTTATCCTAGAGAACTGAAGTCAGCAGAGAGCAGGGAGAAACACGCACACCCTTGTTTACAGCAGCACGATCCACAATAGCCAAACTCCGGAACCAGACTAGGTGTCCATCAACGGATGAATGGATAAAGAAATAGGTCCATATACACAATGAAGTTTTATCCAGCCATAAAGAAAAAATGACATTAAGTCATTTGCAGCAAAATGGATAGAACTTGAGATCCTTATGTTAAGGGAAATCACCCAAATTTATAAAGTCAAGGGTCATGTGTTTTCTCTCCTATATGGAAGCTAGAGAAGGAAAAAGGAAAAGAAAGGTGGGGATGGATCTCATGAAATTCAAAGGGAGATGGTGAAAGAAAAGGCTGGGTAGGATGGGGGAAGGGAAGTGCTGGGAAGGGTACTGGCCAAATTACATTGTTAGATTATGTTCACGTATGGATATGTAACAAGAGATCCCATGACTATGTACAACTATAATGCGTTAATTAAAAATGTGGGATAAAAAAAGAAAAAAAACCACCACTGCATTTGCCTTGGTTCCCACAACTGAAGGACTCTCCTGAGTCCATTTAAAAGTCATTTTCTAATA